GCCCAAGGACACACAGCCTGTGAGTGATGGAGCCACACACAGCATCTGGGTGCCTGGTAGGATGGGCTGACTGGAGTCAAAGGCAAGGAATAGTCAGGACACAAGTGCTGGCTAAGCTAGGGGTGGAAGGAAGCTCAATCATCTTCAGGAGGAAGGGAGGAAATCCGGAATAGGCAAGCCTTAATCTTAAAGGATTAAGGATGCCTTAAAGGATCTGGGCTATTTGAACAGGATAAAATGTGTCAGAGGACTTCCCCAGTGGTGGTCCAGTGGCTAAGACTGTGCTCTGGATGCAGGGTCCCAGGTTCTATCCCTGGTGGGGGAACTAGATCCCGCATGCTGCAAGGAAGATTGAAAATTCTATATGTTGCAACTAAGACTGGTCACAAACAAATACATACATAAATAAAAAAAAATTTTTTTTTAATGTGCAGGGAAGGGTTTTCCAGCAGTAGGGAACAGCACAAGCAAAGGCACAGAGGCAAGCAAGTGCAGAGAACATTTGGGACAGAGCAAACAGCCTGGCAGGGGGCTCTGCCAGCACTTTGTGGGTTATGAGGCTACTTGAGCAGGGGGCCAAGTGTGGTACTGCTGTGCCCTGAGGCCTGGAATCCCCAGCATGTGCCAGAATAGCTGAGCGGAGGCAGTGTCTAGCCCCCTGGTGTGGTTTCACGGATGAAGGGGCAAAGCCTGGCAACCTCAGGCCCCCAAGGCAGAACTAGAGGAGGTGGAGGGGCAGGGAGCCCTGCTCCTCTCGGACATACATGGAGTGGGGGGCCACTGAAGCCTGGGCGGCTATGGATGGACAGGAAGCCGGCCATTCCTTTCCGTGAGCTGGAGGAGAATGGCCTCTATGTGAGCCACAACAAAAAGGCTTTTCTGCCAAGTTGGAGGGGGAGGAAGCAGCCAGCTCGGCCCTGCCCCAGCCTGAAAGGAGGCTCTGTTGGTGGCCCTGGGGTCTCTAATATCTAGAACATGTGAGGAGGGAAGGCCAGGGTGGGCAGGGGCCCTCTCATCCCTGCTGGATTCTCCGGCAGCATGGGGGGGTGGGGGGTGGGCTGCTGTGCAAGTCGGTCTGTTTGCGTTCAAATTGGCCATTTCCTGGCTGTGTGACCTTGGCCAGGTCACTTTACCTGTCTGGGCCTTGCTCATTTCAGGAGTGAAATGTAAGCAGGGGAAGACGCAAGATGACTGGAGTCGTGATCACACTGTGAGCCTTCACCAGCACTTGACAAGCACCATCCTCTGACAGTCCTCCCAGCAGCCGGTGGGGTAGGTCATGTGATCTCTTCCATGGAGGTTTAAGTATCAGGAACACCAGGGCTGAAGCCCAGGATGTTTTGGACTCTAAAACTTCAAGCTGTGCAAAAGCAGAGGAAAAGAGGCTGAAAGGAAATATGCCAAGCAGTCAACACTGGCCGGGGGAGTGACGGCAACTTATGTTTTTCTTCTTCTTCTTTTTTATCTCTGGTGTCTTAATTGTTTTACTTGGGAACCAGCAAAATATAAAGAAACAAAAGATACTGACAGAATGGGGGCTGGGAGTGGCCCAAGGTGATTTAGGTTATAGCTTGATTTAAAGAAACAAAACACTTTAAAGATGTGGGCTTCTGTTTTATCCCGGGGAGGAGGGGGGAGGTCACTGGGTTGTCTGGGGATGGGGAGGCAGGGCCCAGGTGCTTCAACCACCCTTCTCCCCTCAGAGACCTTCACCCATGTGAGACCCCCAGAGAGGATGAACTCTTGAGATAAGCCGTTCCTGCAGCCGCTGGGTTTCTTTGAGAGATTCTACCAGAGCTCGGGGGTGGAAGGTCCTCAGGCCGCTTCCTGAGGAGGTGAGGCCTCTGCCAAGTCTCCTCTGGCCGGCCTCGGAGGAGGAACTCAACCAGGAGGCCTTTCATCCTGTCCTTTCTCCTCCCTGCGCCTCCACACTGCCCTCCACCTGCCTGCTGACCTCTGGGCTTCTGGGTGACCCCTAAGGCTTCAGGCAAGAGGCGGACCTGGTGGGGCCTGCAGACCTGGCTGCCGCCACCGGAAGGCTGACAGTGATGGTATCTATCTGTGACCCTCCCTCCCGTCCTGCACCGCCCCCCAAGGCCCCTGGGTTGGGGGGAAGCATATAGGCTGTTTCCTAGCCAAGCCTGAGAGGCCTCCGCAGCTTCTGAGGGCCAGCGTTTCCTACTCCCTTCAGCCAGTTTTCAACACCAAGAGAGGAAAGGGTGGGATGCAGGGGGCTGGGGAGGGGGCGTGCAGCTGCAGTGGAGGGTGGGGCCTGGAGCAGGTTGGAGGACCCTGCCTGAGGGGCTGTGGGGGCCTGGCCTGCTCTGTGGGTGAGCATCGTGGGCCTGGGTGCGCAGGTCAGCACCCAGCAGGCTGGGCCCGAGGCTGGACATGGAGCAAAAGGCTCCCCAGCAATGCTTAGACCCAAGGGTGGCAATGCCTCTCTCCTGAGCTCCTGAGTATCATCTGCTCCCTGCGCAGCATGAGATTCTCTGCTTCTTCAAAGATGGCATGGGACTTCCCTGGTGGTCCACTGGTTAAGACTTCAGGCTCCCAATGCAGGGGGCACAGGTTTGATCCTTGGTCAGGGAACTAAGATCCAGCATGTCGAGCAGTGCAGCCAAAAAAAAAAGAAAGTAAACTCCAATACTTTGGCAACCTGATGCGAAGAGCTGACTCATTTGAAAAGACCCAGACGCTGGGAAAGATTGAAGGCAGGAGAAGAAGGGGACGACAGAGGATGAGATGGTTGGATGGCATCACTGACTCAGTGGACATGAGTTTGGGTAGGCTCTGGGAGTTGGTTGATGGATGGGGAGGCCTAGCGTGCTGCAGTTCATGGGGTCGCAAAGAGTTGGACACGACTGAACGACTGAGCTGAACTGACATTGTAAGGAATTCCTTCACAGTCCAGTGGTTAGGACTCCATGCCCTCACTGTGGAGGGCTGGGGTTCAATTCCTGCTTGGGGAACTAACATGTCACAAGCTGTGTGGCACAGCCAAAAAAAAACAAAAAACAAAGAAAGAGGGCAGATGCTGGGTGCCCCTCACCAGCCGAGCATGAGCAGCGTGTGTGGTGAGAGGAACTGTTTACTCCACAGTGGCACTGTTTCCCATCTCCTCCTGCTCAAGCCGGGTCTTCAGGTTGCCCCAAACCAATCCGGATGGGTGGGAAGGCTGGGTGGCCTGGACTGGTTTTCACACCATTCTGAGATGGCTAGAAGCTGGTTGCTCTTTCTCACCATGAATGAATGACCAGTACATTCCCCATCCCTTCTCCGCTTCATGCCAGCATGGCCACCCCTGGTACCTTGCCTCACCCCACTCTGGTCTATCCAGGGCAGCTACCTCTCAGTCTTCCCCAGAGACCTGCCTCTCCCAGGGCCAATTTGGAAGGAGCCCCCACAGTTCTGGGAGTCAGCTCTCTTTGGCATGGGGGGAACAAGTCCCCAAATCGTAGCTGGGACCATGTCCCCCCACCCCGCCCCCAAGTCACCTGCAGCCCCTCTAGCTGTAGCCTCCAGCCGGAGGCCTCTGACAAAGGAGGCGCAGTCGCCGGCCATATGATTTAATCAGTGCAGATTATTTACAGACAAACACTGACCCCCTCCCCACCCCCTCGGCTGGCTCTCCGGTGGTTCTGAGGATGGAGGTGGGGAGGACGCTGCTGGAGCCGCACTGGGGGCCAGTCCATGAGGGGCCCCTTGCCCCAGGGGCCTCAGGGATTCCGGGCGGCAGGCCGGCTTTACAGTACCATTTCCCACGGCAGCCTCACCTGCTGCTTGCTTCAGGGAGGAAAATCACCTCCATCCACAGGGTTGAACCCAAGATTGGGGGCGGCCCCTGGCTACAGTGGGCTCCTCTGGGGGGTCCACAGTCCCGTCCCATAGTCTGAGAGAGGATGAGCTGCTGGCCACCACGCCACCCCACCAGTGTCCCTGGGGGACAGCGAGCTGGGAGGGAGGAACCCCTAAAGCCTGGTGGGCATGCGTCTCTGGACATCTACAACCCTGGCCTGAGCACCCATTACCCCCTCTCTTCCCGGGGGAACTAGGACACTGGCAGCTGAGCCTGAGACTGGTGGGCTTCTGAGACCCCTGAGGGTGGCGGGGGGGGGGGGGGGGTGACAGGGGGAGGGAGGATGTTCCTGGAAAGAACCCAATTGAGTCGCAGTTCAGAGCCGACAGAGTGGGCGGGAGACTGGAAGCCCAGCCCCGGGGGGGCGTGGCTGGCGCTACCCTTGGGGGAGGGGCCTTAGCAGACCCCCTTTGGTCCTTGGAAAGGCAGGCCCAGAGCTCCTTCTCCTGAGAGGGGAGGGGGTACAGGGAAGCTGGGGGCTGCTGGCCCCGGGCTGGCCAGGTGCGAGCAGGGTTCTTGGGCCTAAGGAATCCCGACTGCTGGGGTTGTTGGAAGTGGGCTGGGAAGCAACCAAACCTCAACAGGACTCTCGATCAGCGGGCCCCCTCCCCTCCCCTCCCCGTCCCCTTTGGCCTGAGGCTGCCACCAGGTGGAAGCTCTTTCTGAGACTCAGGGGGCTGGAGACCAGTCAGGCCCCACCAAGCTCTAAAACCAACATGAGCCCTCGGCTCTGACCCGGGTGCTCAGGGTGGAGACCAAAACCCAGCAGCCCCTGGACCACTCTTTCAACAGGGCCTCCGGACCCCCGGCTCCTCTGGCTAAGCCAGGGGTGGGTGGGAGCCTAACTTCCCGTCTGGTGCAGAAGTATACTGAGAAACCTCTAAGCCCCTGCCCTGAGGGACCGCCCCGCTCAGGCAAGTAGGAAGAAATGCTTAATTAGTGTGCAAAAAAAAAAAAAAAAAAAAACTGGGCATAAATAAACAAGGGGGCGGGGCTGGCAGGGATGTCAGCGGGCCTGGAGGGACCCCCATCGGGGGGCTGAGGCTCCAGACAAAAGGCCCCAGGAGCCATCTCAGAACCACAGGCGCAGCCGGCCTGGCCCCTTAGCACCGTGGGGAGCGGGAGGGTCTGGCGCCCAGGGTCAGACCCACTCCTGCAGAGAGCGCTTGCAATAGAGGAGCATGCGGGGCGCGCCCTTGCGCTGCATCTGCACCAGGGCGTAGGTGAGGCCCAGGATGCAGAGCAGCAGCAGCGCAGGGGGCACCAACACCATGACCATGTTCGCCGTCCGCGTCACTTCCTCCATCTGCACCACCACGCGGCTGCCCCCATCCGCGTCCGGCCCTGCCTCGCCGCCGCCGCCGCCGGGGCCCGCCTCGCCGCCCTCCTCGCCCTCCTCGCTGTCACCGCCCGCCCCGGGCTCTGCACCCACGTCGGGGTTGAAGGGTGGACGGGCCACGTCGGGCCAGCGGGGCCCCGGCTCCACGTGCTCTTGGCAGCCCATGAAGTCCCGCAGGATGGACTTGGGGTAGCCGGGCTCCATTCGCAGGCGCTCGTTGTCAAACTTCCAGTATTTGGTGCCCTTGTAGAAGTAGGTGTAGGCTGCAGGGGGCAAAGCAGGCCAGAGGAGTGTTAGGTGGGGGCTCCCCGCCGGCCAGAGACCCTCGAAGAGAACCAGGGCGAGCTGAAGGGGCCCCGGCTTTAAAACACCCTCTTTCTCATTGGCTTCCCTGGGTATTTTGAAATCTGTCCATGCTTTCTGGCTGGGCTGACACTGACCAGGGCAGTGCAGAAAGGGGTCCTAGACTAGCCTGCTGGGTCGGGGGCTAGAGTCAGGGGATTCAGTCTGGCTTCTGCCTACACTGGAGAGGACAGTGTCTTGCTCAAGGCCACACAGTCATACCCGGAGTGGAGCCTGATGCCCCCTTGGACCCAGATCTCTGGTCCAGGGCACTCTGTCCACATCCTTTAAACCTCAGGAAGGACCAGGTTTGAGCCACCAGATGTGTCCCTGCTCAGCGGAGCACAATGAGGTCACAGCAACCGCAGAGTGAAGCCACCGTGCATGGAAGCTGTGTGACCCGCCTGAACATTAACAAAGCCAGCCGGGTCTCCCCAGAGCCCCTGAGAACCTGAAGGCTGATGGGCATTCTGAAACTCACCAGACACCCTTCTGGAGAAATAAAAGCCGCAACTCCCTGTTGCTCAGTTATCACGACAGAGATCAGGCTTTCCCGCCAGGCAGATAACGGGGGTTCCCCGGGAGGACTCTTGCTCCTGAGGCTCTGAGCCCAAACTCACCCCACAACCCCACCGGGCTCAAGGCTCTGCGGGGAGCAGGGCAGCTCTGAGTACCAGTTCTGGACACAGGCTGGATTCCTGACTCCACCACTTCCTCACTGTGGGATTTGGGGCCCCTTACTCAAGCTCTCTTTGGCCTTGGTAAATGGTGTCAATGGTCGCCTGGTCCAGCTGGGCCCCCTGTGCCTGCCATCTTGATGCTGGTGACCGCAGGCAAGCCCTGTCCCGTGTGTATGGAGGCGGGGGGATGTGGGTGCTGGGCAGGCTGGGTGGAGGCTGGCCCTGGTACCTGCATCGTTGCTCAGGAAGGCCCCTTTAGGGGAGGCGGGGATCCCCTGCCACACGCTGATGGGCTTGGGGTAGCCGGGGTCTCCATGCTGCGTTTCCTCATTGAAGCGCCAATACCTGTGGCCAAAAGCACCAAGTTGTGAGTTCTTTCTGGGAGGGCCTGAAGATGGGGGCCTTTTCCCTTTAGTGGAGGGGCACTCACCTATCCTCTTGGAAGAAGAAGGTGTGACCTGTGGGCTCCCACCAGATGGCCGTGTCGATGCGGTCATAGGGGATGCCCACGCCATAGCTGGTCAGCGGCTGTGGGTAACCCGGCTCCAGGTTCGCTTCTCGGAAGAGCCAGTAGCGGTCGCCTGCGGGAAGGGTTGGGGGCGGGCACGGGTAGTGAGAGTTTGGGTCCCCAAATCTGTTCCCATTCACTGCTATACTCACCACGCACACACACACACACTCACATCCTGGTACACAGAACAAGCACTGACACTCCACACCCAAGACAACTCACGCTCTCATCACACGCATGTGGCACTCAGGGACACCTGTAATGCACCCATTTACGTGTATACACATTGCCAGCTCACAACGGCACACACCACACGCTCAATCGCAGTACACACGCGCCTCCAATCCTGTTCGAACATCCACTGTCCCCACACACAGTTCTTACACAGAGACAGGGAAGAGGCCTGGCCTCGATCTGGGGGCTGTGTCCCTGGCGCCCCCCAGTACACAGCCCAGGCTCCTCCCTTTTAGTGTGAGCCCAGCCTGGTCCTTCAGGAGTTTCTGCCTGGTTGAGACTCAGGCCAGGGGTGCTGCCCCCCTTCCTGGAGGGGGGCCCGAGTTGGGGCTGGGGGGGAGGGAGCTTCACTGTCTCTGTAGACAGACTGAGGGACACTCCCCAGAGTGGGCTCGGGGATCCGCTCGTGTGAGGAAGGGGCAAGGAAGAGGCCTAGGACACAAGGAAGGAAGGTGATGGGGCGGGGCCCCTGTAATGCAGAAGGGGGACACTTGCCCTCAGTCCGCCTCTGCCCCCCCGGGCCTCTGGTCTCTGTCTACCCCCCACCCCCACCCCTGCCCTGCTGCCAAGGTCGGGTCCCCCTGAGTAAGCCCGCAGTGGGCAACAGGACAAGATGTGCACACAGTCCTTCCTTTCCATCCTCTCTCAGGCCCAGCTGGGTCAGAGGTCAGGCCAGAGGGGAGGGCAGGAAGGCTGCCCAGCCCCCTCCCTCCCACCTGCCCCAACTCACCTTTGAAAAAGACGAAACGCCCGTCCTGGCGCTCGTAGGCGGCACTGATGTCGCTGGGCAGGCCCCGCCAGAAGTGCCCAATGGGCATGGGATAGTTGTCCAGGACGCGGTTGTGCCGCACCCGCCAGAACCAGCGGCCCTGGGGAGGGCGTGGGGGTGAGTGGACGGCATGGGGGCCCCCCACCCCTCCCCGTAGGACACACTTGGGCTGGGAGTGACAGTGAGAAGAGTGGGGTCCTGGGAGCCCAGTAACACCCTCGGTCTAATAACGTGTTCAGACTGGGGCAAAGAGGGGGCAGTGAGGGGCCCTGGGGCCACCATGGAAACTCTGGGTGAGGGCCAGTAAGGGCCAGGCCCTGGAGTCAGCCAGCTCTGGGTTTGGTTTCCAGCATCACCTTTACCCAGTGGATGACGTGGACAACTCCCCTTGCCTGGGAGAGTCTGGTGCAGGGGTCTTGGGGGGGTGGGGCACAAGGAGAGAGAGCCCCAGGTGGGTGCGGGCCCCTAGGCTTATTGTATGACTCCAGGCAAGTCCCTTGTCCCTCGGGCTGTTTTCTTCTTGGTCTAGGGTCTGATGGCTCCCCAGGGGCCGCTTAGTGAGGGGGGCGGCGGTGGGGCAAGAGTCTGGGGGGGAAGTGGGAGGGAGCTCTCTGCTCTGAGCCTGGGCCAAGGGGCTGGGGGGTGGGGTGGCGCAGGCGGGGGCCAGACCTTGAACACGAACATCTCTCCCCGCAGCATGGCCACCGTGTCGAAGTCCCCGTCGCAGATGTTGGGGCCATACTGGTCGGGCCGCTCCGTGGCACGGGGTTGGGGTGGGGGGCCTGGCTTTGGAGGCCGCTCTGGCTTCCCACCCGGGGGAGGTGGTTGAGGGGGTCTGGGGGGCCGGTGGTCTGGCCGGCCAGGCCGCCGGGGGGTCACAGTGGGAAGAGGTTGGGTGGGCTGTGGCTGGCCATCTGGGGTGCCTGCAGAGGGGCGGGAGGGGGAAGTGATGAGGGTAGCCCCAGAACCCAGCCAGGATGCCAGCTTCTCCTACTCGGAACCTTGGCGGCCTGGGGAGACCTGTGCCCTACGGGCAGCCCACCCACGTGAGAGGCCCTACCTGACTACAGCAGACCCCTCCTCATGCTGCCATCGCATGGGGGGACCTCCAGTCTCTTCCACACAGCCCGTTCGTTGACCTCCCCACCCTGGGCTAGGGTCACTGTGCCCTAAGGCCACCCCTGGCTGCACTTCCCCTTGGGGACGCTACTCTTAGGAGGCTGGGGGGTTCCAACGGAGGCTCCATAAGCAGTAGACACAAGCGGAGGGAAGAATGTGGTTCCCAGGTGGCTGGGAACACAGCGAGGGCTCGGGGTGGGCACTGACCCCTGAACTGGCCCCCAGAGACCTCCCCACTGGGGGCTTCCTCGGTGGGGGTTGGGGGTGGGGGTGCTACCTGCCTCTAAGGAGCTGGGAAGTGATAAACCAGCACTGCTCGGAGGGGAGCCTCAGTGGGAAGCACTTGGGCTGGGTGTGATGGTGGAAGGAACAGGGACCCCAGGGACACCCTGGGTCTAATAAGAATATCCCTCAGGGTGAGGAGGAAAACGGGGCTGTAAGGGGCCCTAGGGCCACCTGTGTCCCCTGGAGCCACCATGGAAGCTCTGGGTGAGGGCCTGGGCCTGGAGTCAGCCAGCTCTGGACTGGTCTCTAGAACCATCCTCTATTGACTGACTTGGACCATCGCTAATTCTCTCTGGGCCTCAGTTTCCTCGTCTACAAAATGGGTGTGGCCGTGGTCCCGACGCTTCATGGGGCTGGGAGCTGAGAGCAGGCATGCAGAGCCCCCTGTCCCCCACTGCCACCCACTCACCGTAGAGCTGCTGAATGCCCCGAAGGTCGTCTTCGGGCAGCTGGAAGTTGTCAATGTCCATCCACTGGTAGAATGGTGCCATGATGGCGCTGGGGTTGCTCGAGTGCTCCAGCCCCAGTGCATGGCCCAGCTCGTGCACTGCTACCAGGAAGAGGCTGTTTCCTGTCATGGTGGGCAGCGGGGTCAGCTCTGGCCTGGCCCAGGACCTGGATACCCCACTCTATGGGTTGAGGGGCCCAAAGAGCCTGCCCATGCTTTACTCTCAGAAGAAGTTGAGCCACTCTGACTTCTGAGCCTCTATCTTTCCCATCTGGAAAATGGGTACACCAATCCCTTCCTTTCCCTAACACCCCCCTTGGAGATGATGGACAGCACACTGAGACCAAGAATCAATGCTCCCAAGAACTGCATGGGGAATGCTCTCCCCTCCCAGCTCCCAGCTCTACCCTCCCCAGCCCCCACCCCTGTTGTCACCCTGACCAGAGGTGCTCACCATGCAGGTCAGTGCTGGAGAAGGTCCAGGGCTCATCTGCATCGAAATGGGTATCCCCGCCCAAACCAGGCCCAGGGAAATAGGCGTGGGCCAGAAAGCCACCTGTGCCATCAAATGGTGAGCTGTCGCCATGGAAACCAGAGGCAAAGAGTACCATGATGTCCGCCTCCTTCTGCCGTCGCAGCCGGATGTCCTCATAAGGCACCTCCTGGAAGACCAGGGGCGTGGCCTGCTCCCACACACGGAAGGCCCGGCGCACCGCCTCCAGCGAGTGGTACCAGCCTAGCTTCTCTGTGTAGTTCTGGATGCTGCAGGCAGGTGGGAAGACATATGAGTGAGCCCATGGCTGGGGCTGTGGTCCATTGCTAGCATCCACTGGGTTGGGGGCAGGGACACACGGTCTCAAGGAAAGGGCATAGGATCTGAGCTGGTTCATGGACAATGCTCATCAATACCTACTGTTAATTTACTCTGATGTGAATTTGAAAAAAAAGAACTAAGTTGTCAAGCCCAGGAATTCATTAGGATATCACTGAATAAGGTTGCATTTTGCCAAATATGCTTATTTTAAGAAAACATTAAGTAATTAAAAGTATAGGTGATATAGAGCCAAGAGAAAGACCTAGAAAGTGGAATGCAAATGGCTGAGGTTTGGGAAACATAGGCCAAGTGGTTCTGAATGTTGGGCTCCAAAGTCAGGCTGAATCAGGTTCAAGGCTGGGCTCTAACATTTTCTGGGTGACCTTGGGCAAGCAACTTAAGTCTCTGAGTTTTAGCTTCCTCATCTGTAAAATGGGAAAAGGAGGGCAGCACTTTCATCATGGAGTCCCTGGGAGGATTCAATGGCTTAACTCACGTAGAACACGTGCCTCCACGTGATAAAAGCATGGTGAGGCCTGTAATTGCCCACTTAAAGCAGATTAAGCATCTGTGTGCTGGGCAGAGCTGTCAGAGGTCATGAACCAGCTCATGGATGTGAGCTCACTCTGTGGCCTGGGTCCCTCAGGACCTTAGGAGCTGTACTTGCTCAGGAGGTGGAGCCGAGGGTGGGGTCGTGGCTGGACTGGAACGGGAAGGGGGACCCTGAGGACTGCCATACAGCTCAAGGCTCAGGGGGGTTTCTTGCCAAATAACTTGGCAGAAAGGAAGGAAGGGTATTTGAAGCAGGGTTTGTGCGGGTGACTCGGTGCACAGATTCCCCCTGGGCAGATGCTGGACTGCCCAGATGCTCCAGGGCCTCCCTTATCCTTCACACCCCCAAAGCCTCCAGTTCTCACCGGTGTTAAGAGCCCACCTGGGTGGGTGAGGCCAGCCCTCGGCTGCTGGTGGGTGCTGGGAGGGAGGAAAGGAGGACAGAGCATTGTTCAAAGGGTCCCAGGGAGACTGCGGTGGGGGAGGGGCCGATCTAATCAGCATGGGGGTGGGATTGGATGGGGAGGCCAGGCACCCTGCAGTGGGCTGCTGGGAAAGGAAGCCTTCCAGACAAGCCCACTGGGAAGCCTGCAGCCTCAGCCCAGGGAAGGAGAGGTCCCAGCACTTCAGGAACATGCCCTGAGGGGATGCCACCCTGGGCAGCTGGAGTCTCTACCTGAAAGTAAGGTGGTGGTTGTTCCACTTCCTTCCTGTGAGGGCGTAGCGCTTCCTCCGCCGCCGCAGGTTGGCTTTCACACGTACCCCGAACTGGTCTGGCACCCCACAGCGGGGCCGCTTCATCCACCTGGGAGCACAAAGCCTCCTCTCAACACACCTGCTGCTGGGCACTGCCTCTTCCAGGCAGTCCACCATCTCCCACCCTCCGGCCACCGGCCTCCAGCTGCACCTATTATGAGGGCAGCGGCAGTGAGAAGACTCTTCCTAAGTTTTGAGCTCCTCCTCAGGAAAATGGTATGATGACCTGGTACTGCAAGACTGGGTGCCTAGGAGAGGCTCTGTAAAGGAGAGCCCCTGTTACCAGTATGCCCGGGAACAGGAGGTGAGTTACCCTGGGGCCTTTGATCCCTGATACCTTCTGCTCTGAGTGCTCATCAAGAATGTGGCTCTGGGTCACAGCATCTGTCAGACTCAGAGCAAGGCCTAACTAGGCAATCACAGCACCTCCCATTCCCAAGCCAGTGGCAGACATCACTAATCAATCCTGTGCTCCTTGCTGCTGAGCTGAGTTTCGGCCTCAGGAGCTTTCTCAACACAAGACAGCAGCGGGCCCTCCCAACCAATGAGAGCTAGCATGGAGGATCAAATGCTTTGCCACCTCGTATCTAGGCCACCCTTTCCTGGAAAACTCCACAGGCCAAGCCTTCAACAGAGTAGGCCGGAAGGAGGGCGGGTGCCAGTGGGGTCTGGGAATGACCTGACGGAAGGACTCACGCCTTGGTCTCTTCGTCCAGCACACCAGTGACGGGGATCCCGTAGAAGCGCTGCATCTCGGCCAGGGCCGAGGCCAGGATCTGGGCGGAGCGCATGGTGGACATGTGACGGCTGGGCTGGGGCAGGTAGCCGTAGAGCCGCAGCCAGTTCTGCAAAGGAGAGGCCATGGCCTGGTCAGCAGGTCCTGGCACCCTGACCTCCAAGCATGCGCAGTCTCCCTCCCACCACCTCCCACCCCCATCACCTCCTCCCAGTGTGGGCTTCTGGACCACTCTCCCTGCTTCCACTTCCTGTGGTCTGTTCTCACACAAGAGCTGGAACAAAAGGCCGGGTCTGATCAGTCCTCTGCCTCGAATCCTACAAAGACTCCCCATCTCAGAGGAAAAGCCAATTCTTTCAGGAGCTACTGGGCCCCAGGTTGGCTCTCAGACCTCACTCCTATCATGCAGCCCAGCCAGGCTCCCTCTTGCCTCGGGCCTTCGCACTTGCTGTTCCTACTGCCTGGAGTGCTCTCCCCAGACGTCTGCATGGCTCATGCCCTCTGTCTTCAGGTCTCGGCTTCCTCCCCTTATTCGAGGGGTATTCTCTGACAGATATAGAAAACACGCCCACCTGCTGTGCCCTGTACTCCCTCTCTCCTGCTCGCCTGCCCTTATCACCATCTAACACACTATTTCACTTGGTTGGTTACAGTTTGTCCTCCCCCATGAGGACGGAAGCTGTGTTCATGATGATAGCCCACAGTCACCATCTTTATTACTGCACTGGCCCCTCCCTGCAGGGGTGGGTCCCCTACCATCCAAGCAGACCACTGGGACCCCTGTGGGGTTTAGAACCTCTTGAGTTCTCACCTAGTAGGAAAACCATGGGGCGTCCCTAGTGGCTCAGGTGGTAAAGAATCAGCCTGCAATGTGGGAGATCTGGATTTGATCCCTGGGTCAGGAAGATCCCCTGGAGAAGGGAACCCACTCCAGTTTTCTTACCTGGGAAATCATGGACAGAGAAGCCGGACGGGCTACAGTCCATGGGATTACAGAGTTGGACACAACTGAGCAACTAATACTTTCACCAGACCTTAAGCCTTCTGGAAGGAGAGCAGATGGCTTCAGGGAGTCCACCCAGGCCCAGCAGGGTGGGACCGGAGGCCTAAAGTTCAGTTTCTGCTCTGCCACTAACTCTGTTCTCTCTGGGCCTGACTTTCCTCATGTGAAAGATGGGGAGCCACAGGGCTGCTGGTGGGTGCAATGTGAGAGAGACGGCCCTGGGAAGAGTGGCTGGGACACAGTGGGGTCACCCATTCCCTTCAGAATTTGCTTGGCTGGTCTTTTTCGATATTAAAAAAAAAGATCCAAAAAATTGTATATTTATTTGGCTGTGCTGGGTCTTAATTGCCACATGTGGGATCTTCGATCTTTCTTGCGACATGTGAGATCTTTAGTTGCAGCATGCAAACTCGGTTGCAGCATGTGGGATCTAGTTCCCTAACCAGGGATCGAACCCAGGCCCCCTGCATTGGGAGTTCAGAGTCTTAGCCACTCCACCACCAGGGAAGTCCTTGGGCAACTCTTTTCATCCATCTATCCATCTGTCTGTCTGTCCACCCAGCCAGCCAGCCATCCTAGCAAATGTTTCTGAGTACCCTCTCTGTGCCAGGCACCATGCCAGCTGGAGGCTGTGGAGGAGGCCCTGGCTGACCTCCAGGGGCTTACAATCTCCCTGGGGAGACCCACTGCAGAGGAGAAGTTCACACCTGCAAGTCTGTGAGCAGACAGGACCACTGCAGTTGAAACCTGACGGTGGGACCCCCAGTGAGCCCAGCTGAGTGGTGCTGAGAAAGGGGACTCTGCCCTGCCCACCTCGTGCCCACAAGGTGATGAGATCATGGTGACCACTGTGGGAGGACTGCTGTGGGCCTTGGCCACACGGAAGCATGTCCTTTGAAGCTTTCCTTGTTATCCTTAGTCTCTGAAAACCCCCAGAGTGAGGGGATCTGCTCTGAGAGGTTCTGGAAGGCAGAGGCTGCTGAACAAGGGCCCACGGGGCAGATGGCGGCTCGACACAGAGGCTGCTGTGGGCCGCCGACAGCCACGTGTCAGCTGCCTGGGCCACGCCCGCATCAGTCTGCCACCAGGGCCACGTCCAGTTCCTCAGGTACTGGCTCCCCTCGGTGCCACCCTGGCACCCGGCCAGGCCCCCGGAGCGGACGGGCTGCCCACACAGCCCGGCTCAGCCGTGCCAGGCTGCCGCTGGAGGGAGCGGAGGCTGAGCCAAGAAGGGCAGAGTGGGAAGACGGCCAGAGGCCAAGGATGCCGAGGCTCAGCTTGGAGGGCTCGCAGGTCCCCGGGCGACAGTCACAGGACACCGAGCTGAGAAAGCACCACGGCTCTGGGGACAGAGCCTGGTCAGCCCCCGTTATGCTCCTGTGCCTCTGTGAAAGGGGTGCTATCAGGACCTGCTTCCTCTCATGGGTTTCCATGAGGATGAGATGGGGATGTCCACAGGAGCCTTGGGCACCTTGCTAGGCAGGCAAAGTCCTCAATAAATGTATTATTAATGACAGAGGCTGGGTGGGGGTGGGGGACTGCCCTGTTGTTCCTAGAACAGCAGACTTTAGCCTCTATCGACAGGGCTGAAGGATCCAGGTTGGGACAAGGCAGCCTCAGATGGGTGCAGGGCAGCTGGGGGAGGCTGGTGTGCCCTGCAGCACCCCCCACGGGCCCCCCTCACCCCTCCAGCCCCTTCCTCCAGCTCCCAGACCCTGGCAGTGTTCCGGGCACCCTCCACAGCCTTCTTCCCAAACACAGAAACCTTTCCTGAGGCTCCTGTTAGGTCTGGAGAGGGGGACATCCACCACCCTTGATGGGCGCAGTTTGCCTGAAGAAGCCTGGAGAGATCTAGGAGGAGAGGCTGTGAGGCTGGCTAGCTCTCACAGTTGAGAGGAATCCGGCTGGAGGTGGGGGGAGGGCCTGGGGCTGCAGCTGACAGACGAGGGCACCTCTACATCACCTATTTGCATAAGGTAAAAATATCCCGGGGAGCGCAATCACAGGCCACCAAGGGGCTGATTAGTGGTGTCTGGCGAGTGACAGGAGGGCAGGGCAGGCGGGGGAGACTGGCTGGGGCCCCGGGGAGGGGAGCGGAGGGCAAAGGAGGAAGCCGGGCCTGTCTGCGGTGAAGAGGTCCAGAGCCCGGCGGGGCGGAAGGGGCAGAGGGGCCCCTTCAGTACCAGAGCAGCTCGGGGGCTGACACCAAAGGCCCAAGGGTGCCTGTGGACCCTCCGTCACACTGCCAAGCACCCTTTGAGTCCCAGGGAAGCCAAGAGCTTCCACCTTGGTATCAGCCAAGCCTCCCCAGTGATAAATGTCTCGGCCACTGCCTGGGTAGAAAGCTGAGGCTGAGGCCTGGTGACGTGAGTCGACTAGACTGAAACAGCCTTGGCAGAACAGCTGAGGCCCTGGGTGACAAGGCGAAGGAGTTGATGGAGACGCCTGACTGGCAAGCAATGGGCTCAGAGCTGACCAAGCACCAACCAGCCTACACCACCCGCCGGGCTGGGGCTCCCCACCCCACCCCACCCCACCCCTGCCTCTGCCAGTATCCAGGAGGAAGCTTCTCATCACCCTGCTGTTCTAAGTGCCATGAGCTCTGGGGGTGGAAGGAAAAGAGCACATCGGGGGCAGGCACAGATGTGCGGCAGGTACTGCCCCCCCTCCAGTCTCCTGAGGGGACCTGCAGCCACACGACAAAAATGGGGAGCAATTCCCAAAGTCATGACAGACCTCTGGTCTCAAAGTGGGGGAGAGGCTTGCTCAGGCCCCTGCTGCTCCTAGCGGTATAAACACGGTCCCCCACCCCCTTTCATCAGGACTCCTTTTCCTGTCATCTGCATCTCACAGGTGGGATGAACCCAGCAGTGAAGTTCTGTTTCTCACAAGGGGAAACTGAGGCTCAGGCAGGTCCATAAACAGCAGAGTAGGGAGACCCCGTCCATGAGGATCACTGCCCAGTGGGAGGCAGGGAAGGGTTCTACAGGGAGAGCCCGAGGCCCCCTCCTGCCTCCTGCTGCCCAGGGAGGGAAGTTGTTGTCAGAAAATCGCCCCCACTAACCCGCTCTTTCAGTCATTTCTTTCTCCAGCTCCAGACCCCGCCCCATAAGTATGGATGGAAGCTTCAGGTGAGTGGCTGGCCCCAGGCAAGGAGATGTAGAGCCATCAAGAGTCTGGGGGTGGGGGTATTCCTGGCCCCCTGGCCTATAGGAGAGGCCATAAATATCGCAGCCGGGGGCTGAGAATCTGCTGGAGCCAGGCTGTCAATCTCATCACCCCTTTCAATGCTCACAAGTAGCCCATCCCCATTACACAGACTGCAAGGTTCAGAGAGGGTTCCCGGCTCACCCAGGGTCACACAGCTGGTCTGTGGGCAGAACTGGAGCCCGGAGGCAGCACTGTCGGCTCCTCTTGGCCTGAGGCTGGGGATGCTGGGCTCTGGCCCATCTGGGGAATCGTGCCCAGCACAGTGCTGGGGAGAGCACTGGGGGAGGGAGTCTAATCCTCCCCTCCATGGGCATCTGGATCTGGGCACTGGGCCACATCAGCAGGGCTGCTCCCCAGGACTGCTGAGACCTCGCCAAGGCAGGCCCTCCCCCATCCTGAGGGCGTGTCTGGGAAGGAGCCACCAGATCAATAATGTGCATTAAGCAGTTGCGGGGGTAGAGGCAAGCCTCAGCTACCCCACAGCCAGCTCCTTCAGGCTCGGATCAGTGGAGCCCCCTCCCACCCAGCCTTATCAGACCCCACACGATAAGAGCCATCTCTCCTGGCTCAGCTCTGGGCTTCTGTCACCCCGCTTTCTCTGCAGGCCAGGCAGACCCTGGCAGGATTGCCCAGACAGGCACAAAAGGCGTCTTGTCAGGCCCGTCAGCAATGGACACAGACCTTTCATGGTGTCCTGGGACCAGTTACCGGGGCCCCAAGCCAGGCCGCCCTGTCCTTGGGGGACCATTTACTTCCTTTAGAGGCAGCATGGTTTATATTCAAGCGGTTTGGGAACACATTTGCTCTTCTGGGGCTCAAATCTAACCCCTCAAGATGGGACAGCTATAGGTGGGGATGGGGCTCTGGGTGGCAGAGAAAGCGGGTGGGGTGGGGCT